ATGATGTTGCGGTTATTCTGATCGGAGGGAGATGTCGCCATACGATAGGATGCAATGGAAAGCGGTGTTGCCATGTAAGGGTTGTGGATCTGGGGACCGAAGGAGGGTTATTAACTTTTTAAGTTTTGGATTTCGGAAAATGGCGTACCTGCTTCAAGAGTGACTCGATGACGGCATCCTTCTGGCGGATCTGGGCGAGCAGATATTCGCGTTTGCTAGGGAGAGGCAAAAGATACGATGAGTCATCCGTCGAAGAGTTATCATCATCATCGGAAGAATAAGAAGACGATGAGCAAGTATCAAGGATGTCCTCGAAAGATGAGGAGCCATCAGAGCCCGTGCTTGGTGGCATAGCTACGATAGCAGTGATGGGAAAGATATAACGGAGAGGAGATGGTGCAAATTGACGGAAGGGGGTTGAGCGGATGCCACAAAGCAAGATCACGAAAGCTACTTGTATAAGAACCGTTTAGGCTCACGCAGCCCAAGCAGGATGCCTGCACCCCCAATATCAATGCAACATCGCAGGCACGCAAACACGCCGCGAGAGAAAACACGGGGCGCAAGGAGCACAAGAAATCCCGGAAGCGCTTAATCGAAACTCAATGCGCCAGAAATGATGCAAAATATGGCGGCGGGCGCGAATGAGCTAGGAGACTTACTTTGGAGCTGTTCTAGGTTTCCGGCCTTCTACGATGCACTGATGATTGGTGCCTTTGCATCTCTTGCATACATTCTCGTTCTTCGGGAAATCGCATTTCATCTAAAGCGGGTTGAAGAAGTGTCGAAAGACCGAGACCATCAAATACCGGAGATACCGTACGAGACCATACCGAATGCAGGAGCCGAAGGGATGGCGTGACAGGGACATCGGGGAGGTACGCGGAGACCGAGCAGAGGGTGAGGCAAATGAGGAAACAACGAGGATCTAATCAGCAACCATATGGCAAAGCAGAGAGGAACAAAGAAATCCGACGCGGCAAGGGGTAAAGTGGGGGAGATTACGTGGAATGGTCACATACCTTGAGTCGTTTGCAATGGGTACATGCACCCGGACTGCAGGGCCGGAGTTACGCATATCACCAAGATCGACAAGGAAGGGCCAAGGCAGATGATGAGAAAACCCAAAGAGATAACCGGGGGGAGGGATTGACCGGAGACCAAGTGCATGAGAGACCGGAAGTTAGAAATGACCGGAGGTGGAAGGATGTTATAGATCGATATAGGGCCGTTTTGGTGTTTTTAAAGGGGCCAGGCGTTACATGGAGGAATCAAGCATCAGAAGTCGAGAGGCGAGGGAGCAGGAATAAATTTGTAGATGCAAAGTCAGCAATGATCCCAATATGCCACGCGAATTGAGCGAAGCATGAAAAGGATACTCACAGTCTTGTTGTGGACTGATGTCCATCTCCCCCTCTCGCGTCAAGCGAAGGATCCTCGTCACTTTCACTGTCGCTGTCGTCGCCAGCCCCGGACTTCCTTGGTCGCTTCCTTCCTGTTGGCGGCTTCTTCGCTGACCCTGATTGTTGCGGTTTCGTTGGGGTGGGCTTCGCGTTGGCTGGACGTCTGGGCCCACCACGCTGCGGCAATGTAGGTTGCGTTTGGGGGAGGCGCTCCTCGCTCCATGGCGGGGATACTGACTGATGTGCGGGCAACGTATGAAGATCAGACGTCGGGGTAAAGGAAGTATCTGCAGCGGGAGAGGAGTACGTCTGTTGCGGCTGATGCGATCCTGAGTAGGTGTTGTTGTACGAAGGTTGACTCACGCCCATGGAAGTTGGCGGATAGAAGAACAGGCTGCTATCGATCGGCTGAGAGTAGCCCTGCATACCCGTCTGACGACCTGAAACGGGCGGGGGGTATTCTGAAGACGGCGACTGAGGGTGCTGAGGTGGTGGTTGGCGTGGGATGCCCTGGGTAGGCCGGTAATGTTGGTCGCTAGTGGACGAAGGGTTGTACTGATTCGGTACGAATTGGTAGTGGTTCTGCATTTGCGGTCGGGCTTGTTGACGATGGTGCTGCTGGAATTGGGATTGAGCCAGGGCGGCAACGTTCTGATCACCATAGTTGATTTGGCCAGTGCCGTAGGCTTCAACCCATCGTTGATAGTCAGGGGCGTCCTGAGGCATGGCCTGCTCGGGATCGTAATAGGAGGAAGTGGGGCCTATCATTGTAGACGGTGATGTCGATGATGATGGGCGCGATAGAGGTTTGGGCGGCACTTGGCTCTGTGTAGGATAACCTGGCCAGTTATCAGGGCTAACAGGTGAGTCTGTAGACGGTGTCAAGGGGGAGATGATAGAAAACGCCGACGCTGGTAGAGGTACACAAGTCAGCTTTAAACGACCGAATGGGTATGACATGGGATAATACCGACCGCGTGAATCGTGGCTTGCGGTTCGCTGGAGGATGAGGTTCTCGGGTGTCCGGCGCTGAGGTATCTCGGATGTCGAAGAAGTGTTCATTCCAGCCTAGCACTGTCCCAGTTATATGCAAAAGGTCCAAGTATCCCCAAGTGTAGGTAGCCTTTGGCTCTGTTCAGTTTCCCGCCCTAACCTATCAAGTTTATAAGCTTCGGATTCGGGGGCGTTCTTTCGAACTTTGTAGGCGGTGCGCGGAGGATCGGATGTCGCAGGGACCGAGGTTTATAGCCGGATTTGCAAGATGACTGTGGGCGTTTCGCGAATCGCAAGGGGGCGGTGAACCTCGAGGCAAGACAAGCTGTCGACCCCTAAACACGAGGGAAGCTCATATCACAATAGGAAACTCAATTTTATCTCGTAATTTCTCACTTCTGGTTCCAATCCAATTCCCCTACTTTTCGTCCACTACTTGATCGTCTGTCAACAGTGCATACAAGTCCTTCAACCAAGCCTCCGCTGAGAAGGCACACCGTTTCGCCGGAAATTCGCATCTGAGCTCAACGAGCCTTGTAATTGCAGTTCTTGCCACCTTCTCCTTCCCAACAGCGAGCACACGGTCACCCATCGTCTTCTCCCAAGCGCCGCATGATGCGAAAGTTTAGCAAAATGATTCCCATTAATTTTGAATGCCGCGGGTATGACTCCATGCATTCCCTGTGCATCAGTCACGTCTACTTGCTGGACGAATTATGGCCCATCTTGAGAGGATTTTATTAACCCTACTCCCGTCTCGCGCTCGAAGATTGAAGCAGGCACCGCAGCGACTCTTAGACGCCACCACAACACCCGCCTCGGCGACTTAAATTTTCGGTATGTCACCTCGCTCGCGCGTTAATTTTACTAAGATCAATTGCTATTCACCCCATCGCTGACTGCAGACTGTACCCGCACCAAGGCCACATGTTACACAGCCCCACAATGACGCAAATGGGCTTGCAGAGGCGTGTACTCAGTCGTTCGTACCTTTCACGATGGCTCGAGGCTTCGCATGCTCGGGAATCCCGCCGCAAATCGCAAGATCATGACGCAATTCAAAACTTAAGATGACTCAGGCCCCGAAACTCGTCGAGAATTTGGCAGCCAGAAAGCATGCCTCGAACTTCATGTCTTCATACTCTGCCATTGATGATCTCTCCTATTAAGCATTGACCTATGGATCCCGCTCGATAACAACTGTTGGATGAAGCACTCATGGATCCCGCTCCCATTTCTCTGCAGAATCCTGAGGCTAGCGCAATCCTGGAGATCTGATCCAGGACCTGGCCCCATATCTATATCACAGCCTCCAGCCCTGGTTCGTATCGCGTGTTATACTCGCTTAGATACTCTCTAGACTCGCACGATACCTCTCTAATGCCATCTACATAGCAATTTCAATTGCACCGCTTGTTCACCTCAAGGTTCAAACCCGAGAACTTCGCGCAAATTAGCGTCCGTCGCATCGATCTCGACCTAGGCCGAACAAACCTTCCCCGGCTCTCGGCATCCAACCTCATCCAGCTCGCTTTGGGGGTTCAGCAGCCGGACGATGTCATCAAGTTGTCATGCTTGTGCCTCATGTCTTGATTTCAATGCCTCAAGGCATGTCTGATGTACAAACCTGGACGTTCAACGGCTGACTCCCGGCCGTAATCCTCCCGAGCCACTGCTTGCAATTGCCATCTTATCATGCTCGGTTCACACGTCGCCGAGTTCGCTATCGGTTTTGTCAGCGAGAAGGATGAGTGTACCCGCGACGTGTTGACCGCACCGAGCACGAACCTAGTTTGACATCGGCGCCCTGATGCGTACAACTTGGTGTCCTCAATGCAGCACCGCCCGCGCGCCCTGCCAATCCCCCAATCAAACGTATTTGTAATGTGTTCATCCTGTGCGCCCCAGAGGATCCTACCCAGATCGCGGCGCCGTACCACACCATCTCCTATCCTGTGCTCGCTTGTGAGTATGAATGACTGTGGCATCTTCGTTTCGCACACCTTTTGATTTGTTGTGACTTGGATATGCGCGCAGATACGGTTCATCCCGACCCAGTAAGCACCTTCATTTTCTCTGCCCAATGTGCGCCCGTCATGAGGCCTACAGTTTCTCAAGAATTCGCCTCTCGATGTAAGATTAAGCATCATATGTAATCTTATAGATGCAACTACAGCTCTGAAAAACACATCCCGCATATGCATAATACAGGAAAGCCTTGATGGTTCCTTTCATGACCAGTTCCAGGGGCCGCTCAATATCCGCGAAGCGTTTGCAGCAATTTACACAGTATTTAGCACTTTGCGGTACACTCCGGTACACTCCTATATTTTCAGAAATAAATATAGGAGGAGGATAAATTTATGTGGTGGCAAACGCGACTGGCTTCTCCGGTAGATCTCCACACAAGTTTCTCGATGTTTGGGTTAGTGGACTAACAAAATTGCTTCATGCACATGCCCGAGAGTTATGGGTGAAAGGCTCAGAACGATCGCGGATTGGTGTCCAGCTGTGCTTTGTATCACTTACTGAATGCGCGTTGCCTGTCCCATATTTCCCGCCTTCGTCACCGTACACCGTACACCTCCATGGCATAAAAATGCACGGCCCGATCCTGAATCGAACAGGAGCCTTCCGCAAAGATTTTAATCGGACGCGCTTACCACTGCGCCATCAGGCCATCCTCGTGCTAGACGATATCATATGTGGAACCCGACCCCGTCCCAATCGAACAGAGAGTTTTGCAGAAGGGTATAGGCGAGCCCCCGCCTCATGTGCGTGAGAATCAATTAAAGAGTACAAAATGAGCTACCCGACCCGATCCTGAGTCGAACAGGAGCCTTCCAAAACAACGTTAAATGGAAGCGCTTGCCACTGCGCCATCGGGTCATCGCAGGTACTAGAACCTGCACCACCAGGCCAGACTATCTCATACCCATTCTTCTACTAGGTCCTGGTTCGAACGAAGGATTATGTTACATTTCATTAGATAGCGTAATAAGCAACATGAAGCTGGGACAAGACAATGCACTGGAAAGCAAGCGATAAGAGAAGGGGGGGGGAGGCAGGGAAAGATAAACGACGTGAAGTTAACTAGTATGACTTTTATTAGCTCTATCACTTCCTTCGCCTTTATCTAATCTTGAGAGCCGTATTACTGTCGATGGGACTTCCGGCGGCGGAAGCGCATAATTGGTGCCGACGAAAACGATGCTCCCATATCGTTGCTGGAACAACAAAAGAAGGACCCTCGCGCAGAAGACGGAGTGGAATACTCTTTGAGGTCTGTTATTCGAGTTTAGTGAGAAACGAAGAAAGACGACAGCAGGCAGATTCTCTAACATTCCAAAGAAGTTTTCGTAGCCGGGCTGCAAATATATTAAGCTAATTTGCCGAGACGAGTAAAACAGCGAAGCTTACAGGTGCGGTGAGCGGGATGATAATGTTGATGAGAGATGCCGCTGGACATTTTGGTCAGAGGAAAGGCTCGTTCGCTGCATTTCTATTACATACTGAAGGTGTATACGTAGAACAGTATTCCTGGCCAAGTGTATGTCAGACTGCATATTTCGCATGTGAAAAGTTATGAATCTCACCGTCATGATACATTTTTACGACCCAGGAAGATCTTGTTTGACGAACTGTTAAGATATAATCAAAATCAACGATGAGAGAGAACGACGCGATGGCTTACGGTGTTGGATCGCCTTGATGACGGTGAGAATCACGATGCCTTTGCATCTGAATCAGCAAAGACGAGCTCTTGATAGCTGGGAAGGGACTCACATGTCTCGCAGAAGATCAAAAGGATGTATGCTACAAATATGATTTTGCTAACGTTGGCGCCGCTCGGGTAACAGCCGGTTTGATTTGGAAAAGGCGTAGGCCCATCTGGCCCACCAAATTCAGCACGAGATATGTTGAAAGATACGGACGACACAAACATTGCCAGCTGCGAATTTCCAGATAACAGATGACGAGGAGTGGCACCACGGTGACCTGATAGAAATATCACATTGAGTGAGTGGAACACGTGAAAGATAAATTCAGCCTTACCACCCAAAGTGCCACTAAAAACCCGAGGATTGATCGTTTACGGCCCCATATGGCGTATGTGCGCACCATAAGAACGGCTGGCAAGGAGTTGCTATCACGGTCTGGGACATTTGACAGTAAAGGGTCTTACCTTCAGATATCGTGCTCCCCAATATAACAAACCCTGCATTGGGGCAATGAGTATAAATAAGCGATCCGGAGGGTATGATGACTCACATGTCAATACTGTATTGCCTATTTGGCATTTCTAATAAAGTAATGAAGACGATGGTCGAGTAGCACATGTGATACCAACCTGAGCAGAGTTGTTGCCAGAGAACACTGTCGCACCATATGTATAAGCATCTGTAGGAGATGATCTAGCTGTGGTACTCACTGCGCACAGCGATGAAAGTGTCGATGAAGGGTAGAAACCGATTTAGCATGTAGAGAACTGTCGCCAAGCTCCATGGGGTGGTCCAGACATATTCCACCTATTGCTTCTTCGTCAGACAAGTGTGTTTGGAAGGATTATAATATTTTTACCTCTTTGTCCAACGAAGTCAGGATGTCCCATGTCTTAGAAAATGATCAGCATCGTCAGGGCTTTCCTGAAACCATAAGAGGTTCATTGCGCACCAAAAGCGCACCGCACGCAGTGACTGCGTACCCCTCATTCCGATTAACGTTCGTAGCGAGTATCGCAAGGTCATACTCTACCCCGGCCATGATGAGAAGGGGGAAAGATGTTGAACGAGCTGTTTAGAAGCAAAGAAGGGTTATTATGGAGCGTGGATGTTGGCGTCTTCCTGCGAAGTATGCATATGGTTTTAAAGTTAATGTCGGCCATCAATGATCATAATTCGATCGGGATCTTGTTGTAAGATCTAGTGTGCAACTTTTCCAGGGTGGGAGGACGACTCCGGGTGGTCTGGCTATAAATATGCGCTAGGAGCTCCCTAGTTGCCAATAAGCTCGCTGCGCTAGCCTATGTGTTTCTCAGTGGAAGGTCAGCAAAAATCAGCGTTGAGACCTTGCAATGGGCAATTCGGAAGTAGCTGCGAGCATAAATCGAGGAGGCGGCATCAATGATCGATTAATGATCTTCCAGTTTGATTGGATGGTACTTTGCGGAATTGGGTTCCTGTTGAGTTCCCCGTAGCCTTGGCTATTCAAATTGATTGTACTCTGAAGCCTAACGCTGCACGGACTGTGATAAGCAGGGGCGCATCACTTGTTGAGGAGGACATCAAACACAACTTGCCAATTAGAGCACCATCCTGGGCGCCTTACTAACAGCGGTTGCTCAACCTGTTTCCAATTTGAATTGTTCCAGCTTTGTGTACATATAACCTCATATAACGTTGTGAGATGTATATTGCTCGGAGACCGCAGGTACCCGACGTTTCAGACCAGCGCACAGGACCGCAGCGCCACTGGTTCGCCAAAGCGCGTCAGATTTCGCACAGGGCCCTTCCTGCGTGTGATTTGTATTGCTTGACCTGAGATCACTTCGCATCTCGGTGGCCCGTCATGTAACCAATCGATGCTACAAACACCCTTTCCACGACGTCCAGCTCTTCTTGATCCCTGGGCGCATATATCAGGAGATATTCCTTGGGAATGGCTGGCGTCCCGCTCAGTGGATGCCGCTCGCCCCACCCCCGCTCGATCACTGCAGAATACGGCTCATTCAGTACGGTGCTTCAGCAGAGAAAGGAGGAGGCGTACATATCTTGCAGTCCTGCGGCGCACATGTAACGTGCATCGAGTAGTCTTTGTGGGGATGCAGATGTGCGATCTCCCGAGCTGACTTGTCGGCGACGGCGTGAGGTGATTTCAAGGCGTGATGGATGATGAGGCCATCACTGGTCCTCTCGTGGGGAGATGTCGCCATTTCGACTAAGCCAGGGTTAGCTGCCAAGCGTGCATTGAAGACACCTGCCAGGCGCTGGGAATGCTCCATATCAGCACTCCTCCTGCCTTGTTGGATGATATGCACGCACCTGCTGAATCTCTGCTGATGGAATTCTATCCAACTGACGATGGGGGATGGGATGCCATGAGGGGATGGGTCTTGAACCCCGTCGCTCAGGGATAGCACTAGGATCTAGCCAATGCTCCTTGTCCGCGTCCAAGTCGTATATGCGCGTGTCTCGTGTCTCGCGGCTGAAGATCTTGGCGGTGAGAGAGATCAGCCAACCCACGACGTTGTGCGGAATGCCCCCTGGTCCAAGGGCTATGTAAGCCCGGTAGTTACTGACGAGCAGAGGAACGGAGATGCCGAGCACGGCGGCGGCTGCAACGGCTGTGGTGCGTGCTGGATTTTGCGAAAGCGTGGCACGAAATGTGTCGACGATTTGGGTGTTCATGGCGAGGTGCTAGTAAGTCGACTTTATCAGGTGCGAAGGAAGCCCATAAATACTGGACTACATGCACTACATCACGGAGTTTGGGCGTTGGTTTGACGTCAGTCGGCCGTTCTGGTCGCACGAGAATCGGCGAGATTCTGCGATGGGCGCGTTCTTGCGAGGACTTTTGATAAGCAAGAAATCAAATCAAAACTTGTATCGGAATGTCGAGTATATTGATTGTATTTTGATTGTATTGCCGTTCTTAACCGTCTGGTGGTCTTGCAAAGAAAGTAGTAGTTTAAATCGCCCGAGCATGCAGACGCACGCTGGCAACAACCTCCGTTACAGCAGACAAAAAGCTGTCACAAAGACATGTCGTCACTAACTCGCATGCAAAGAGAAGGAAAACAGGGATAAAACGCTCATGACATTACAAGTCGTAGCACTAAGAAATTACACACAAACAGTCGTAGCGTCAAGAGTTCGGGTATCGACACCATCACGGTCAACTCCAAGCGTGGAAATCCACCAACACGGCTCCCACATCTTAGATGAGGAGGGCACCAGCTACGGCGGCGGCGACGGACGCCAGAACGCCAGCGCACGCCTTGACGTTGAGCGCACCGCTGGACGACGAGCCGCCGGACGCGGTGCCGGTGGCGGACGCCGCGGAGCCGGAGGGCGAGGTAGCGGAGGCGGATGACGCGGATGCGGCGGACGATGCAGACGACGCGCCGGAAGCGGACGACGCGGACGACGCGGTGGACTCGCCTGAGGCGGATGACGCAGCGGACGAGGCTACGCTGGCGCTCACGGAGGACGCAGATGATGCCGCGCTAGCGCTCACGGAGGAGGCGGAGGCGACGGAGGAGGTCGATGCGATCGAGGACGTCGCGGAGGCCGTTCCTGAGGTCGCGGTGGAGGCCTGGTCATACGGTCAGAATCCATCGCGTCTTGCAGTTAAAAGAGTTGCTTACCACCAAAGCGGACAGGCTGTATTTGGGCGAGTGGCACTCGACGTTGAACTGGTCGAGCACGGATTGGCCCGCGGAGTCGGAGCCGAAGCTCACGATGCAGTTGACGCAGTTCTCGAGCTCGTTGGCGTTGGTCTGCGTGCACACGCACTTGGCGCCTCCGCCTCCGGAGGCACCGCAGTTGTTGAGCGTGGTGTAGATGGTGCTGCAGTCGTTGGTGCACTGCGCAGGGACGGTGGAGATGTTGTGGTGGCTCGCAACCAAGAGGCTGCGGGCGCTGAAGCTTTCACCGATGGAGAGAGCCGAAGCTGTAAGGA